TTGCAACCAATGCTCCAGTTTTGTCTCTATGCGAGTGTCCATCTATAAAAATAGCATGTGACCCCTCAATCTCTGACCTGCCCAACTTTTTGATCAAGTTTGTTTCTTCACTATGTTGGACCTCACACTGGTGAACTGGGCCTGAGATAGTAAATGGTAATATTGGAGAGTCTGTTGGTTCAAATGTAACTTGCATATTTACGAGTAACAGATGAATCTTTTGAGACATTGAATTTGTCAATGCAAATGTGTTCCCCTTCAAAGCTGCATACATGTTATGTGGCGTTCTCACAATAACCTCTGAGTCCAAGATTATGTGTGATGTGGAAACCAGTGAGTTCTTAACACTAGGACCGCCGTGCTCTAAACATACCTTGCACCGCCCCCTGCGGTCAGTTGACCGCTATGTATTTTGCGCTGATACAGCCTTTTGCCAAATTGATTGTTCACTAAACCAGAACTTGATGTTGCAAAGGAATCGTGATCATAATGAAACTGTGTAAATTATTTGTCTAAATATGCTAAGTAATTGTAATTCTAGCCGAAATAAAAGACTAAGACGACACATTGTGCGTGTACTGATCCATCAAAATTACGATGACTTTTCTGGCTAGATTTATTTTTGTAACTTTGCAAACACCTAAAAGGTTGGTCACTATATGTTATATTTGACTCAGTAACAATATGTAAATTCAAACAATATAAATTATAGTTTAGAAAAGCACGGGACCATAACGTCTTCGCGCTGCTATATGCGTCTACTTCTTACGTCATCTCCAGACTGTTTTCTCTTTAGAGGCCGAAATCACCGTGGGAAATATTATCTAGATAATAATAATAGTATTCGTATTGACACAAGATCATCAGCTATGGCTACCATCGTCAATTTAAAATCTTCAATTTTACACGGGACACGTTAGAAAGACAAATATATGCATATATATATTTGTATTTATTTGAGACAAGCAGTGCTCTTTATGCTCAGAACAAAATTATAATCATTGCCTTGCAGTGCGCGCTGTGCAGAATAACACACAGTGTTATCTGGATGAAATCAGAATTATATCCTTATTGATATATGAGGGCCGCCTCTGCCACAGTCGCTCTCCTCCTGCAGTGTCCGCGGGTGACGAGCACTCTGATCTGCACTCTGCCTTGATAGTTCATCTAATTGTTCTATTTTATTGCGATATTGTATTCTGCTTTATTGCCTTCTTGTATGTATAAATATAATAATGTAATTGATGATGAATGAAAAGGCAGAATGGAGCGACAGCGCGCACACAGACACTGCGTATGGCTGGCATTACGAGGGTCATGTGAGTTATTGCTTCTGGACTTGTTACAACACTGCTGTCTGTGCCGTGAATGCACTATGGGTTTACGTTCAGATTTAGAATATTATAGGTGTTCTCCCCGCTGTCACTTTCTGCCTCAAAATGTGACATCTCACCTCCGTCAGACTGTTCTCATTCAATGTTTTGAAGCACTGTCAGGGCTTCATACCGTGTACTTGCAGCTCTATTCATTTTGTACTCCTCTCTCTCCCAAATAATAATAAAAAAGTCCCTTTAGAGTCTAATGACAACATATTGATACATTTTTATAAGGCGCGAAAAACCCCCGGGAAAGGTTACTATGACAACAGTCGCCCCTGCGCCATGTATCTCTATGGGGCAGCAGAAAGGGCTGTGGTTTAGAAAAGTTAAAAATGCGTGTAAATCTTGTTTTCTTTACTTTTTCCAAAACCAAAACACACCAAAATATAAACCACAAGTACCCAGTAAAAGTCATAAAATTTCAACTTCTGGCGTTTTGTTTTGAATACACTAATTAGCATAATAAAGTGAGTGACGGTCAGTTGACCGCTAGGGGCGCTCCTAGTGTTAAGGGCCATTACATAACGTGCACATGAGAAGTGGTGTGCTTCTGATCCTCTGAGATTGGAGCTGAATATGTACAATATTTTGGGTGCATCTGCTATTTTCTGAAACAACACTGCACAATAATAATCTCCAGTCATTGTGATTTCCATCATAATTGGGTATTTCCTATCAACGCAGTGTAAAGTCTGCACCATTGATAGTTTTCTTTGATTGATTGAAATGCCTGTGCTTGCTCCTCAGTCCATGTCAAGATCCCATCATAATCTGTGTAGCCTACATCAATCAACATTTTCTGCAAGGGCTTCATCATGTAGGAGAAGTTGAAAATATATTTCCTGATATAGCTTGCCGTATTTATGAAGGACATCATTTCTCTCACTGTTTTTGGTTTGGGAAACTCTGATAGTTTGATCAGTCTTGACTGGTCACACATGACTCCTTCTGAAGTGAGATAAGTCTTTAGAAACGATACTCTCTGTCTTACAAATGCACACTTGTCATAATCAATTTTGAATCCCTTTTCTGCCACTACTCTAAGTACTTTCATAGTGATTTCTGTACATGCCTCTTCAGATACTCCTGAGATTAGAATATCATAATCCCCTTTATCCACTCATCTAATGTTACAGATGCCATGTTTTCTACCGTCTAGATTACAAGCCTTGTGTTATCAATATCAATGTAAAAAATCAGCAATTGGGTGCGTAATCTTAGAGCGTCAGATCGTGGTATCTCCCCGTTCAACCACAAGTGGTGGGGAAATGTACGCACGAATCGTGACCCCGTCCTACGCGACCCAAGTTACTGCGTTCACTGTGACCGTTTGTGCAATGGTCACTTTCAACAGAAAACATCAATCACTCATTCACACCAAGAGAAAAATTAAAAAGTGAGAAAAGTTAGACACTGTCCCTGTCCTTTCCCTTATTGTCAATTAATTAAAACACACAGTTTTCTCCTTCAACTATTAAATCACTGAGATAACACACAGTTGACTCCTTAACTCATAAATCACTTAGATCCTCACACACAGTTTTCTTTCCTTTAGGTTAACTATCAATCACTGAGATAAAACACACAGTTTTCTCCTTTTCTTACGTCACTTAGACTTAGAATACTATTATCCCAATAAAATATAAAATACTTGCAAATCCTTCAATATTTACCCTACTTGGTGTTTGTTTGTTTTTATTTTTTATTTTTAGGTCTCAGGTCAGGTGAAAGGAAAGATTAATTAGTTGGTAACAATCTTACCGTTTTACTTTGGCGCCAAATTAATCTTTTCTCTGACCGGTCCTAGTGTCTCCTGTCGAAATCCTGTTCGAGCGACGCCAAGTTCTGCAGTAATTTGTCAGAATTCCCCCGCCCCAGAAGCTGCAGAGAGGCCGCAAACACAGCCCTTCGTTCTGCAGGTCCTTTTAGTTCAACAAGAGACAAAAACCAATGTTAAAACAGTGATAGAAATGACAGATACCAAACCTGATTTCAAAAAGGTTATATTGAAGATTTTGCAAGCAATATTACAAGATAACGGTCCGCGAACAGATCTCGCTTCGCGTTCAGATAAGGAGTGGCCCCCGGGGACGTCTCACTGCTCCTTGTCAGACGAAAAAGCAAAAAGTTCCCGTGCCTCCTCCTGTACATCTTTTATACTGTACACCCAAGGTCACTGACATCACAGATTCGTGGACTCTATGACTTCTTCTGGCCAGCTGCCAAAGCCTGCACCTGCTCTGATAACCACAGTTGTTTTTCTCTTGTCCCCCTCCCATTCTCACACAGACTAACCTTGAACTCACTGCTCTTTGAGATTTACACAAACAAGTGCTAATTTGGCAATAGAAACAATACTAAACTGTTTTTAGTTTTAACTGGTGCAAGAGTTAATATTCCAACACTTTGTGGCCATCATATCAATTACACATTTGTAAAAAGACCATGATGACCCAGGGGGGGCATAAACATTAATAAAGGTAATCTCTAAACCTTCAAGTCGACCTATGACCATATTATATCGACCCTCCTTGTCTTTATGTTCGGCTATTTTTTCAAACGACACTTTGTTAGAAATTAGTGTGGCCACTCCCCTCTTCCGACCCGAAACATGTGATGCAGAAAACACGTGACCAAATCCTTGTCTTTTTAACTTCTGATGTTCCGTTTTAGATAAGTGAGTTTCCTGTAAGAAAACCACTCCAATTCTTTCCCTTTTCATTTTCCCCAAAATCTTGGCTCTTTTTATCGGCCCTAAAACTCCTTTAACATTATATGTACTGAAGCGAATTAAAGATGGAGAGGCCATTGCTGGTTTAATTGTTGTATATAAGCAGGTGGTTCCCTACGCTACTCAAACAAAACAAAACAATGAACAATTTTAACAAAAATTTTTCTTCAACAAAACTATGAGTCCAAAAAGACAGAGTGACTCCCATCTCTGCGGTCTCCTCAGTGACCTGTGTGTTAAGTGTTGTGAGCGATGAAGAGGGAAAGCCTGTACCGCCCGATGGCTGTGCAGGGCCCTCTAGTGGCGTTAGCTGGTTGTTGTGGTGCATTTCTGCTCTCTGCTCCCCGGTGTTTCTTCATAAGGTGATCCTCCGCGTCGTCAATTCTCGTATTAACTTTTTTAATTTCTTCTTTGAGCTCGCAGAAGTTTTCTCCATTTTCACGTCGTAAACTCCTTAGCTCACGAAGTATAGTTTGTAAATTAGCCGAGTCATTAGCCATTAAATCCTCCGTAGTCCCCTCCGTGTCTGAAGTGCTAGCAGCTTGGCTAGTTGGACTAGCCGCTGCTTCTTCTCCCGCAGTATCATCATCCACCAGTGGTTGGAGTCTCGCAGACTTACTTTGTTTGCCTCGGGTCATTTCTTCTCAGTTGTTCCTATTCGTTTATCAATTTGGCACTCTCAAATACAAGGGAAGAGGGGGGTATCTATACTTTGTTCGGGAAGCCACGAGGTTAGGCTGTCGCCATTTCGGTTGCTCACCGGAAGTCCACAACTTGTAACTTTGTTACAACTTTGTTACTGACTTCTTTGATATCAAATTGTGCATATAATTAGTGGCACATCTTTCTGGGACTTTTCTTTCTCATTGATTGTTGTCTTTTTGTTCCAGTACATCCCAATGCCTGTCCTCTATGGAGTTTTTCTGTATATGGGAGTGGCCTCATTGAGCGGCATCCAGGTAACATTTCATTATTTTATGCAAACATAATCTGGTTATTTAAAGTGAAGTGGGTTGTGTCTAAAAACAGCACTAATAAAAAGGAACTAATAAGTAGTTACTTTAAGTAGTACTAGAAGTTAAAGTGATCATGTTTCTGTACTGTCAAACTGGCATCATGTACTCATGTACTTGTTCTCAATTCAACTCCTCCTGGAAGTACCAAGGACCAGGTCCAAACACTGGTGATCGGTCCTTCTCAGTCACATGACCCAGACTTTGGGACAAGCTGCCCCCTGAAATGAGTGTGCTCACTGATTTTGGCCTTTTTAAATCAAGGGTCAAAACATATTTATTCAGACTGGCTTTTAACACTTTAATTTAATGGTTTTGAACTTTTATTTTTTGATAAAAGATTATTTTTTTGTGAAAAAGCACTTTGGTTGCCTTGAGTGTTGTAAATGGGCTCTATAAATAAAAACATGATTTATTGATATTTTCTTGACTATTCAACAGTAATAGCTTTATATGTTAATTTACTTGAATAGAAAAAGGCCTTTCTACAATTACTTACATTTCACAACTCTTGTTTCTATGTACGTACTGTATTTGAATTAGTCCAAACTTAAACATAAGATAGTTACAGTTTTGCAAAGGCATCAAGAGATGGGACATGTATGTTTGAGATCTCTCCACTCTCTCACTCTCCATAAATAACTGTTCACCTCACTTGTCCGTCACCATCGTATCCTTCTTTTGTTGCAGTTCTGGGAGAGAATCAAACTGTACCTGATGCCCATCAAGCACCAGCCAGACTTCTCCTTCTTACGCCATGTTCCTCTCAGACGTGTGCATCTGTTCACTCTGATCCAGATCATCTGTTTGGCTGTTCTGTGGATCCTCAAGTCCACCTTTCTGGCCATCATCTTCCCAGTAATGGTCAGTGCCACATATTCTCACTTAATTACTATTGTGGCGTTAACAATGAGGGATAACTAACTTTTTTTGTTTCTCTATTAATAATAAGATTAAGTCCCTTCATTTGTCCCACAGTGGGGGAAATGTCAGTGTTGCATCACCGGTTACAGAACAGCAGGAATGAGGAGCCCACAGCACAAGAAAAATTAACAGTAACTCTAAGCTAAAATAAAATAAAATAAAAACTCTTCACTTTCGAATAATAAGGACGCAAATTAAAAATCTCCAACTTTACTATAATGAAGAAGCAAGAATTAAGGATGAAATCTCTAACTTTAGCCTAAAATAGTGTGTATTCCAGTAAGTAATATATAGTTGTGTGTATACATCTGTACATGTTAGCAGCATGAGGCTCTGGGACAAAGTAAAGTGACAGAAACACATGTGGATATTGCACATTATTCAAATTATTGCACAGATGCACGGTCATCAAATCAGACTACTCCATGCTGCTAGAAAACATTGAATCTTTTGCATACTTAAAAGAAAGATCCCTGTGAGTCACTATTTGACCCTTCGAGCTGATTGTCCGAGTGAGGGTGGTTTTTCAATTTTCTGGCCAAGAATACATGCATGTGATAGAACCAAACTGTAAATGGATTTAAGGTGCATTTAGCTGTTGTTGTGAAGTTAGGTACCCCAGCTTTAACACTGAATAGTTGTAATAGGCTGTCACCATGTGCATAGATCTTGGGTTTGATGGTGGTACGGAAGCTGCTGGATTTCATTTTTTCACAACACGACCTGGCATGGCTCGATGACATTCTGCCCGACAAAGACAAAAAGAAAAAGAAGAAGACAGGGCAGCCCGACAGCGACGAGGAGGTGATTCATGCAGTAGTTTAAGTCCAAAATCTATGTTGTAAGTAACACGTGTTCGTCTCTGTGACTAATACTGTATGTTTTTCCTCTGTCCCACAGTGTTGCTGAAAAGGCACTGTAACTGTCTATTGACTTTTAACATCCTCTGTTTTTGTTGTTGTTGTTATAGTCAAAGGGTCTGGGCCAAAAAGCAAATTGAATGGTGTTAAATTAAGACATTATAAAGATGGGTATATTAATTACTGATGTGGCTGCACACTTTGAGTATGACGATTGTCTGTTTTAACAAACTATTAGGCATGACATTGTAGAGACAAGTGGAATATCTCTGCATGTTACAAATCCGTGTTTTTTGTGGTCAGTCCCACGCCCCTCCTCCTTACCCTCAGACGATCCGCATGGCAGAAGTAGATCCTCCAACCAATCCCAAACCGTCCCTCTAACTGTGAGTATGTCCATGTTGGTATTCCACCAGTACTGTATTGAAACTTTTTTTTACCCATTTATTAAAAGTTTGAATGGTATTAAAGGTCCCTGGTATTAAAAAAAACATTGTGTGTGTAAGGTTCATAGTTTACATTTTCAAAAAATTACTAAAAAGTGGTTAGAAAATGGCTAAAATATTCACAAGGTATTTACAATAATATAAAAATAGTAAGGTGCATTTTTAATTACTGAAATTAACATATGAATTACATGTATTATATGTTAGCTGTTTTTAGCCACATTTAGTATTTTTAGAATATGTATTAAACTTTTAAACTATTACATGTGCCTAAAGAAGTCCCACTAATGCATCTATGAATCTGTCCAGGTATTATTTATTTGAAAGTGGTCAAGAGAGGTTAGTGCAAATGTTTTTATCAAAGAGAAATAGTCTTACTAAAAGTAAGTAAGTATAAAGTATTTACACACTTTATTCAGTTATTCAGTCTTACTAATAGGAAATATTATCCTATATTATTGTGAAATGGTTTTTGTGTCTCAATCATAATGCACCATTGTGGTGCATTGTTACAATCCTAATATAAAGACATAAAAATAGAGAGGATGTTTTTTTTCTGTCAAAGCCAAAGGAGCCGTTCAAAGGAGGCTGAAGACTTAGGCTGACCAGACATTCCTAATTATCCTCTTTTTAGGCTGTGTCATATGTCCCAGCAGATTCATCAAAAAACAACCGTGATTTCAGACCAATTTTACACCCACTAATCTCAAATAACAGAGATGTGTGAAGGAGCCATGAATGCGAATGTGAAACTTTTAGGGACATTGGTCAGGCGCCCCCTATGGGCCAATGTGTTTGCTGTTATTGCATTTCCTGCGTTTGAACTGTTTGTTTCTCTGATTTGTTGTTGAGGAATCGACAAAGTCCTCCAAGACGACTGCTGTTGTGATTTAGGGCCATAATGTGTGATAGAACAGATTCATAACAATACAATCGTCCAGCCAAATGTTTGTCTTGTAATGTACCTCGACAACCAGAGTAATTAGTGCATAAATACAAACTGTGGTGTCATGTCTGTGCCTGTGTACCCTGTGTGTGTTTGATTAACAGGAGACAAATCCATATTCGACCGTGACCTCGGATGACGAGCTAGACCGCAGGTACTGTGTGCTGAAGCTGCACGTGCCCTACACTGATTTGATGTAACCTGGACACAGAAGGACAAGATTGAAGTTGTGCCACATTTATGTTAAGAAAATATGAATAAAACAGTTTCTCTTGAGATCAGGCAACCCCATAAATGCTAATATTTCCAGTAACTTTTATAATTCAATGATAGAATTTAGATAGTAGCCATTTATTTCTGACTGGAATTTGGCATTTTATTACTGATGTCAATAACAAGTATTTTAAGTTATTTTTATAATTCAAATGTTTTCCACAGTAGTATATTTTGGTTGTTTCTGTATTATCCATTGTTTTTTTTTTTATTCTTGTGTCCAGGGACTCAGCAGATGTACTCAAATTTTTTTTTTTTTTTTTTTTTACAAAACAGGACAATTGTTCTATCTGAATTAAACATGCTTTTCATTTTTTATACTGAAAAGTTAAGGTAACGTAATCTGTACAAGTACTTCTGATAACATTACAAAACATACATATTTTATGCTGTGGCCAACAACGCCCTCTTGACTAGAAAAGTGCATTCTCAACTGTCCAGGCTTTAACATTTATGTGTAACACTGGATGTTTCTCAGCATCACCGTGCACCTGAAGATCTGCCCCCCGTCGCCCGTGCTCTCCCAGAGGAGCTATGCTTCAGGACACTCCACACTGTCCCCTGCCACCGCCCGCCCACCCTCAGTCAATCTGCAGATGACCGACAACAGCGACTCAGACTTTAACATCAGAAAACATCACCTTTATCTCCCCAGCTACAACAGCCATGAGCCGCAGAGAGACTGCAGCAAACTTAGAGCCCACTTTGAAGACTCATGTGCAGAGACCATTCTCTAGTGTTTCTACCAAGGTTCCCTTCTGTTAAGACTAATGTGAAGAAACAACCAAAATATGCTACTAATGGGTTGGTCATAGCCCCTTTTTTGTTAAAATGTAATGATTTGTGCTTAATATTTGAAAAATGTCTTGTCATTGTACTTAGATGTAACTTCTGGTTCATATTATATTGTAGAATCAACATGTCTATTGCTCAGAAAATAAACAACACCAGATTGCATGAATGTTTGAACTTTATTGCAACTTCCAAATTTTGCAAACACCTAAAACGAAAATTGTGGGAACATTTTTTCCACTTTTTAAAAAGAAACAGGTTGCCTAGTTTCCTCCTCGCAGACGCAGCACCAAGTGAAGAGTCGACTCCTTCTGGATGTTGTAGTCGGACAGAGTGCGGCCATCTTCAAGCTGCTTTCCAGCAAAGATCAGCCTCTGCTGGTCTGGGGGGATTCCCTCCTTGTCCTGGATCTTAGCCTTCACATTTTCAATGGTGTCACTTGGCTCGACCTCCAAAGTGATGGTTTTTCCAGTCAGGGTCTTCACAAAGATCTGCATTCCTCCTCGCAGACGCAGCACCAAGTGAAGAGTTGACTCCTTCTGTATGTTGTAGTCGGACAGAGTGCGGCCATCCTCCAACTGCTTTCCAGCAAAAATCAGCCTCTGCTGGTCTGGGGGGATTCCTTCTTTATCTTGGATTTTGGCCTTCACGTTTTCAATGGTGTCACTTGGCTCAACTTCTAGGGTGATTGTCTTCCCCGTTAGGGTTTTCACAAAGATCTGCATTCCCCCTCGTAGACGCAGCACCAAGTGAAGAGTTGACTCTTTCTGGATGTTGTAGTCTGACAGAGTGCGGCCATCTTCAAGCTGCTTTCCAGCAAAAATCAGCCTCTGCTGGTCTGGGGGGATTCCTTCTTTATCTTGGATTTTGGCCTTCACGTTTTCAATGGTGTCACTTGGCTCAACCTCCAAAGTGATGGTCTTTCCAGTCAGGGTCTTCACAAAGATCTGCATTTTGGTGCTGTCAAAAGAAAAAGAGTATTAAGGCCTGAGGCGCCACGACACACAATGCCTGGTTAACCGAAGTTTGTAAAAAATAATAATATATCTCGTATAAATACGTACTCACGCGAATTTACATCAATTTGATAGTTACAAGACACTAACTAGTTCCTTACTAGTGGTGTTGCGCTATATTTAAACATAGCTAACGTTAGCACTGTTAGCTTTCCCGTGATATTAGAATAACGTTAATAAGCCACCAGTGCCGTGCCATTAATCGATGAAGAGGTACACATCGTTGAAAAAGACTATTACTCTGTACACGACAAGTACTTCACAGTCACTTATCTTTCCCCAATACTCACTTTTCACGCTGTATTCACCGGAGAGAGAGTGCTGCGGCCGTTAGCTGCTGTCGTCTACAGTGTTCTTCCGTTACCGAGACATGCGTCAGCATTTAAAGGCGAGCAACAGCGCCCTCTAGTGCCCGCCTTCGAAATGTATGTCATATTTTTATCATCCACTAAGTACAGTCAGGCATAAACTGCATACATACCCCAATAAACATCTAAATATATAACAAAGTCAACTAAGTTGTGGACTCCATATTCTTGAAAATTATACAAAAAATAGCTATCTCCTTTTCTGTGACTAAAGTTTTCAGAAAGGCAAAATTATCCACAAATTCAAAAGAGCATTATTTAAAGAAAAAGTTACAGTTTATTCAGGAAACAACATGGCCTTAGTATAATGCAAATGTAATCGGCATAAAATATCACATATAGTACATCAAAAATAAATACACAATCTGAGGACCTTTCAATTCTGAAGCTCAGTTCAGGCTTTATGACACTGAATTGCAATATCCCTGTCTGCAACGGTACTAACTGTTCCATTAGTCTAAAGCCAAGTCGTTTATATCATTGTCAACCACTCTTGAACTAATTTGACAACATTACATCACTGACCCTATAAATGTCAGTTTATATCGTTCTCGTCCAAATGAATGATAGGAGGCATTTTATGTCCACTGGAGTAACAAAATAATTCACCATAACTTGGTACTCTGCAAAGTTCAATGGCATTCTCATTCATTACAGTCAGTATTTTCCAACCTGGTTTTTGCCCACTTGTCCTCTTTTTGGCCTCTCCATATTCCTTTGTCACTCTGTTAGGAGTAACATAAAAACTGGACAAAACAGCATCATGGAGTCTCACAGCAGGGGTGGGGTGGACATCATATATTTCATGTATTTACACAGTTTTTCCCAACCAGCAGTGAAGAGGATGAACAGTAAGATGGTTTTCACTTCATATTGATACTTCATATTCACGACTCTCCAGCTACAGAGCATAGAAAAAATACTTTAGAATCCTGTATTATAAGTATATATGTAACTAAATAGAAAAATTAACGTACTCCGCCTGTCTCATAGAGCGGGTTGTCAAACTCTGCTTCCACAGTGATTTGTCGGTAAGGATGAGGATAGATGAGAGGCAATCTCAAATTGGAGTGATAGCGACACCTGAAGCACAAATAAAACAGAAAATAATTCTGTAATTCAAACAAAATACATACACAAATAATTACTTTAATGTCGTAAAGTACTAGAATATATTTGATTGTTTTGCTGAAGCTAGACTATAAGCCACTACTTTTTTCAAACTGTTTAAACCCTGCGGCACATACGCGGCCTTTGCTTTAGATACAGCTCTATCACCAGTTGTTTACGTTTATGTGAACAGTGCAGAGAGACGACACCAGGAAATGCAGGGAAATACACAGGACTAGTTTTTTGTGGGTAGGGCTGTTGTCAGAGCAGAGTTGATGAACAAAATAGATTGTTAAATGAGTCACGACATGGAAGCTAACAGTTGACCGGTAAGCATGTTATTAAGCGTTAAAACAGCTGTTGGTTACGTGACACATTACAACATGAAAACACATGGTTTAAATTCAAGTGCGGCTTATATATGGACAATATGAAGATTGTTTTGTGGAGAGTAAACAAAGTAATAGAATGCTCGATTACTAAAATAATTGGTAGCTACAGCCCTAAAGTTATTGCAGTTGTAAGACCTATTTTAACTATATTATATTTACCTTGTGATATAGACATAGGCTCCTCCCAGCAGCACAGACAGTACCAGCACTAGAATGAAGATGGATAGGGCTATTTTCCCACCATCAAGAGCGGAGTGTTCCGTCGCTTCTGCAACTAACACAACAGCACACAATGCACTAAGACATGGTTTATTTTTGCAACTAATTAGCAGCAAGCGTAGATGGATGCTCATGTGCGGTCGATCCAATTCCAGATACATTTGAAATGAACATGACGGACAGATTGATGCATTGCAGAGCCCACGCAAAAAAACACCAACAAACACACTCACCTTCCAAAGCATGGTTGCCAAAGCATTCATGGTAGGCTGCAAGACATCATTCTGTCAGTCAGTGCAGACACTACGGATACTGACTTCACTGAGACAAACTTTGGCCTTATCATTATGACAATTGTGATAGCTACTTGTGCATGCATAAACTAAAGTGAAGGTATTCGAGATGGGAATGGGGCGGCTCGTCAGCTTTCTCCTTGGTAGACTTCGCACAAGGGAAGAATTTTGGAACCACTGCAGACCTGCTACTTATTTAAAGCCCAGTTTATACCAGCCCTACTTGGCCCTAGTCCATTCGGCTCTTCTCGGCTCTACTCTATGTTTCCATTACGCTTTAATATCTGGTACCGTATCCTAGCAACCAATCCACAACAAACCAGTTTACAAGCAAATTCCTTGGTAACTTCCAGCAGAATTCTGACAAATCAGAACACTTTAGTACCAGCTCGGCCTGGATAAAACCAGGGACAAACAGGTACTAAAAAAGTATCTGGTACCCGTGAAACAGGGCCAGTGGGTAGAGTAGGACTGGTGGAAACAGGACTTAAGATTCAGAACTGCTATATAAGATCCTATTGCAGCAGTAGTGTGTTTTTAGTGGTGACTCTGAACTGACAGTGCTTTTATTTGGTGTCTGCGTAGAATTGTACAGGGGGCGAGGAGAATGTAAAATGCTAGTTTAAATCATTATTTTGCTTTCATAGTAACTTTACTTGTTTGATCAGAAAGTTGTATTTCACTATAAGAATAATGATTTAAAACTATTTGATTTTATGATTCTTAGACAATATCAATATCGTCATTGTAAAATTATGCATCATCCACTCCGTATACATAGGTAGTAGACTATTTTGGTAGCCATAGATGCCCTGGGGCAGACTGTGCTGTGAACAAGCATCTTCTTATTAACAATAACATGCTGATTTTATTGAGATGAAGTAATGACTCTAAAGCTAAACTCAAATTAGCCTCCCACGATAGTAATGCTTCCATCTGGTGATGAGTGATCATGTCAAAGATTCCACTAACACACTTTATGGGCACTACACAAGATGCATTTCACATAGCAGTCACAAAGTTTCACCAAATGTGTCAAAAGCTCTCACCCCTGCAGAGAGGAAGTGGTCCACTCCAATATGATGGATTTCCCAGAATGCATTTAATAGCCATTTCTCCAATCAGCTCATAGCCTTGGTAGCAGGCAAAGGTGAGTGACTCTCCAGGGAGATACAGCCTCTTGGAAAGGATCTGATAACCATTGTCTGGGAGACCAGGGTTCTCACAGGATACAGACTCCTCAGCTGAACAAAGGAGGAAGAAACACAGAGATAATTAGATTCACTTCTTCATAATTGGGACATCAAAGCCAAATTGCAAAGCAAAAAAGCCCAAAGAAATCCTGAAACAAGCATGAAAAATCATCCTCACAGGCAGAACTTTCCTGAGTAAGCTATATCACAAGATGAGATCAAAGGTGTAGATGCAAGATTTTACTTATTGAAAAGATAAAACTCACAAACACAGTGTGGCAGTTTGGACGTCCACACTGGAGTTCCTGGCTCACGTCCATAGCAGGTGATAGTGGCGCCGCCCTGGGGGATGAAGCCAGCATTGCAGGTGTACTGGATCGTTGTTCCCACCAGCAGTTTTGGGTCCGACAACGTCCGAGTGGAATGTTCAACATGGCCTGGGTCTGAGCAGTACATAACTGTAGGGGACACACACATGTAACCGTAGGCTTTTCAAATTGCCCCAGATGAAGGAAGTTTCAATGTGTAAGTGTCTGGTATCGGCAAAGATATTTCAGTGAGCTCTACGCTGTGTCTTTTTCAGAAATGTTGCACATACATAGCTTGTATTCTGACAAGTTTAAAGAAATTCAATTATGACTTTAAAGGAAGTCGTCCGTGTTGGTGGCAATTTGTATGACACTGTATCATTTTTCAAACCGTATTTTTCAAAGTGAATGTTTTTGTTCTGCTGAATGAAAATATAAGTTTGAAATAAACACTTACTTACTAATTTTGTGACCCCAAAATTATACCCTTACATTTTTGCTTTATCTCTAGTGAATTTTCTTTCTAAAAGCTTGAAACTTAAATTATAGTAAATACACTATAATTTAAGTTTCTCTAAAGCTAAACTCATTGAATAAATTATTTGAATAAATTACTACAATGAAAAATATATATACTGTATATTATACATTCTGACAACTGACAAATCACGTTAATTGACTAAAATATGAATATGAATATTTTTATGTTTGACATGAACTTGCATCAGATCAAAATTGTGCTCCAGGTTTTGAGATGGAAAAGAGACAGTATTTCAGTAGCAGCTTTGTTTAAAGTGTTTACAGTAGAATACAGTATCAACAGCAGGACTGACTTTTCTCACAGAATGGAGGCTGCGAGCTCCAGGACAGGTCCAGCTGGCAGGTCAGCGTTTCTCGTCCCACCAGGTCGTACCCCGGGTCGCACTGGTATGTGATGCGCGCTCCTCGCACAAGCGCAATGTGAGACGTGGTCTTCCAGCCGTTCTGGATCTCTGGTAAGTCTGGACAGGAGTCATTTCTAGACACCTCTGTGAAAGAATCAGATTTATTTTATTTTCTATTTGCAGAAAACTACATTGGAATACATTTGCAAGATTCCCCAGTGTGCACCAGAAAAGTACATCAGACCTCTGAAGCTATGCAGAGCAGGGTTAGTGCTGTGATGGGAGACCTCCGAGAAAAAAAGGGACACAACTTAAGCAAGACACTTCACCTAAATTGCCTAGAATGCATTTGGTGTGTGTGTGTGTGTGTGAATGGTTGGTGGTGGTCAGAGGGGCCAATGGCACATACTAGTTGGCTCACTTCTGTCAGTGTGCCCCAGGGCAGCTGTGGCTACAGTAGTAATTTCTCACCGCTGTGTATGGAGTGAATGACTAATGATATGTAAAGCATCTTTGAGAGTCCTGAAAAGCCCTATATTAAACCAACGCATTACTAATATAATAAATATATGTAAAATAATAAATGACAGCAGTTACCGAAGTGAAGCATATAAAGTCAAATCATGTGTGTGTATAAGATAAGACAAAATATCCTTTATTCATCCCACAGTGGGGAAATTTCAAGGAGTATGACAAGGACTAGACAAATATGGATCTTTTATCAGACTGTTTGGGCAATTATGATCAAACTAAGCTGTCATTACAACAGAAGTCAGTACTTTTCAACTTGATGTTATCTACAGCCGACGCTGCAGACGCTGTGGAGAGCTTCCGTATTTTGCCTTGGTCTAAAACTTTGTGAATGCTGTGAATCTCTGGTCGTGTTGTTTATGCTGTGTTCCAACAATAAAACATGTCTTCTGCTGAGACAAACCTCTATGTCCTTTGTCAATTTCCTCACTATACTTACTGTGCAGTGAATGTGTCTCACAGTGTTTATGGAGCACCTTCCAAAGACACGTGTGCTTTATAGAGTGCAATAACAAACAACAGCAATACTCTAACAACCTGTTCTTTCAACAGAAGGCTGTCTCTGTCTTACAGTATATTAACACTCGTACTCTCACAATTATAAAACTACAAGAACTCCCAGAGCCGCTGTTTTAAATTTCAAATCGATGAAATTCTGAAAAGTTAGTGAGTTCACCATCAGTTTTATTCAAATGTACCTTTACTAACGTTTAATAAGTGCTAAAACTGGTGAATATATCTTAAAATACAGAGAAAACTGTTTGTTGAAAGGCTAATGCTAACTGGTAGCAAGTTAACAGCATGTTGCTATGGTTACCAGCGCTTGCTCTTCTCTACTTTTCTACTCCATTTCAAAATTAAAAGAAAGTTTCATAAAAATAATGACATAGAAATACACTACATAAAGAAACAGAAAAAGTGACAAAGTTATTAATTACACTTCCAAAACTAAAAGCAAATTGACTGCCCTGGGAGTCCTTGTGTTAATGTGTTGACTAATGAGTTAGCATCAGGATTAGGATGTGGCTAACGCTAACCACACCCATAGGTTATAAATCTCCAACGCGCGGCCTGAGATTTCATTCCCTTGATAAAGTCCTTTAGATGAAGGGCGAAACGTTGGGAAAACCTGCTAAGAAGTACAGATGATGTGTGAGAAACCTTCCTTTGTTTTTATTTTTAATTTTTTACAGTATTCAAGCCATAGGAGTGAGGATTACAGAAATCAGTGGTTTACAAGCTTCTTGCAGTGGATGTCACTCAATCTGTAATATACTATTTGTTATTATTGTAATTAATGCCTGCAAGATCCATATGTATTACTACTTCCATTTCTCAAGTTATACAATCGTCAGTATTTGTTTTTCATTTTAAAACTGATAATGTGCGGATCAGTGCCAAACAAGCCACAAGCTGTCTTATGTTAACGTAAAACATTTGTAAAAAAATCATGTAATTTAATTTCACTGGCTCTCTTATTTCACTAGTGCAATAACTTGGTGGAATAAAATGACATGTGCTTGATTAATGGCTGAAATACAGAAAGAGTATCTGGTACAATTCTGTTCAATATAATAGGCCTCGTGGGATTTGTAAGTCAAAGTTCTTGCATCCATTATTCATTCTCTATTGACTGGTTTCTCTTTGGACGTGGTGTGTGGTGCTGTGTAATATATTCAGAGCACAAATACACATAGTGCTGGCCCAGTCCATCGACTATAATCTCACTATAATCAAAGAGAGATCTTACTATCCATGCGGTGTCGGCTTGATTTAGTGAGAGTGTGGGGTGTGTGTTGAGCGTGCCGCGAGGGTGACGAGTAAATTGGACATTGTGGCTCTCAGTGCGAGTCCGCGTTAGTGTCAGGTGCTGGATGTGCTCAGTGAGGGAGCATGGATTTGTAGACGCTGAGAAACTGTGTTGAAGTGAAGATAGAGAAACAAATAGAAAGTGATTGAATAAGGGCAGAGGGGAAAGAAGGCAAAGATGAATGTGAGGGAGAAAAAACGTCAAAACTGTCTATGCAGCTCGACAAAGAAAGAATGCTTTTTAACGTTATTGTGGGTTTTTTCCAAATAAAAACCTTTGCGAAGTGTCTATAAAGCGTGAACTTTTGCTAACCCCTAACCCTAAGATTTTATTTGGACTTCATCCCTGGTCTCTCTGGGTTCCTTGGACTTCATGATGTTGTTTAGTGACCAATACACTGACAAACAGCTGTATTCAGCGGAATGTGGATCACACACAGATGTGCTCTAAAGAATAGTTAGTTACAGTGTGTGTGTGTGTGTGTGTGTGTGTGTGCGCGTGTGTGTGTGCCGTGAAGCCACATTGGTTTAGACTCGGGAGGAAGAAACCGCACGCACCAAACAGATTGTTAAAAGTTTGTTAGATTGTGTTTTTGTTCTTCTGCAAGACACAATCATACATTTGCATACTCATTATTGATCGCAAACAAAATATTCCAAGTCCAGGGGGGTATTTGGGGGAGGGGGTATTTGGGGGAGACCCGACGCTGCTAAAAAATCCTGGTGAGAACTCTGTTAATGATATGAGTCCAAAAGATCTGAGCCGCTGCTTCTTACCCATATAATTAATGATGAATCCTTCGCCTTTGCCGAACACGAGTCCTGCGGGGTCAGAGTGGAAGGTGATGGTCAGGTCGGGTGTAGTGGACGAGAGCTTGAAGGGGCTGCTTCCTCCGACGTATCGAGCAAGAACGTGAGTCATGACCTCATCTCCGTCTGTGATGGTTAGCATGTCACTGTCGCTGATGTTCAAGCTGAAAATAGAAGTACATAAAGATGTGGCCCTGCAACAGCTCGAGCCCAATGACTCAGAGAAGAACACACGGCCAATTGTGTGGGAACAGATAAACGACAACATTAAAGAACGAAACGCTTCAATCGGCCAAGAACAAGAACAACTCTTCGACTCTCCACTTTATGTTATATATATATAACCCTTTCGGCACCTACTTTTTCAGAAATTTGATGCGAGACGGGAAAAACTGTTCAGAGATATTTAAGACACATTCACACTTGTTGGTCTGGTTCACTTTAACTGGACCAAGTCTGGTTCACTTTGGGCAAAACACTTCCCAGATCTGTTACATGTTCACGTGTTTGTTTTTTTACACGTCTGAGCGATGACATCACTGCGCCTGTTCAGAGCAAGGCACTTCACAGAAAGAACGTCCTAGGTTCGACTCCACTTCTAGATGGGGCCTTTCTGTGTGGAGTTTGCATATTCTCTCTTCATCTACGTAAGTTTTCCAGGAAAACTGCACCCGACAAATGTAAAGCACTATTCAAATGAAGATGACTGACATAGAGATAGAGGAATACTGAAATCTTCAACAGCAATAAACAAAAAACGAAGCTATATGAAACATGCACGCCAACATTTGTGCGGATCCAGGTCGCTGGATAAGGAGGATCCCTGTATCATTTTTGCTACTTTGGCGTTGAAAGAGTTCACTTATTTTTTAAACTATGCATTGCACTTGTATGTTTGTAGAATAAATCGTAGCCAGAGATTTCTAGGAAGAGGTGTGAGACTGGAGAGTGAAAGATTAGTAAGTGTATAAATACCTAAACATGTTATTAAAAACATAAATAAAATAAGACTGGTGTTGCCACTGAGCCGGTTTTCCTGTCATTAAAATTGTGCGTTCATGTGTGTTGCTCTCACAGTTGTACATCCAGCAGAACTCGTTTGTCCTCGCTGACGTGGATCCTCCAGCCGCAGTCCTCCCCCTCCCCGTACCACTCCGGCCAATTAGGAGACAGGATCACCCCGCCTGGTCCAGTCAAGTCACCACCACACTGCGCTAAAAAAATCATAACAGATGCATGAAAAACAGTGTGACTCAGAAAGTAATCTGTAAATACCTCCTGCTGACTACAGTGTATTTTATTTTTATTCTATTCTATTATCTTATTATTTTATTGTATTATCCATCCATCCATGTTCTTCCCCTTCCCCTTAATCCCAGAAATGGATTGTATTATCTATTATCTTAAATAACAGATCCTGTGTGACGTGTGCTCGTATTTCCTACTTTTTTCTCTACTATAAGGTGCACAGCAAAGACATTGAAATTTACCCACTGTGGGACAAATTAAGGTCATTATCTTATCTAATCTTATCAAACCAATATATCTTTTTTTTTACCTTTGCACAGCGGCTCTGTGTCGTTCCAGTATGGATCTCTGGCACTCACACACTCGATGACTGGAGGGCCTTGTTCAAGCGAATGTCCCGGGTCACAAGTGAACTGGACAATAGTGCCCACACCATACAACGGGTCAGACGCAGTGAAGTTTCCATTCTGGAGGTACGGTTCGTAGCAGTGACCACGCTCAAAAGCTAGAGGAGATATAAAACACAAATAAATGATTGTTTTGATATGCAGGGGCTATAAGAAATGTGATTGTTTAGGGTTAGGGTTAGCAGATATGCAGATTATTTGTGTTACATTTGGAGTTTGTCCTGGTTGTGTGTGTGTGTGTGTGTGTGTGTGTGCATATCTGCGTGTATGTGTACCTGTGTGTGTGTGCTTGTGTGTGTGTATGTGTACGTGTGTGTGAAGGCGTGCGTGCAAGTGTGTGCATACGTGTGTGTACCTGTGTGAGTATGTGTAATTATGTGTATATATGTGTGTGTGTGTGTGGGCTGGCGTGTGTGTGTGTGTGTGTGTGTGCGTAATGTGTGTGTGGGTGTGTGTGTGTGTGTGTGGGCGGGGGTGTTTATGCATATCTGTGTGTGTGTGTGTGTGTACCTGTGTGTGTGTGTGTATGTGTACGTATGTGTATGTGTGTGGGCGGGCGTGTGTGTGCCTAGCTGTGTGTACGTGTACCTGTGTTTGTGTGCTTGTATATGAGTGTTTGTGCAGGCGAGCGTGCATGTACCTGCGTGTGTGTGTGTGTGTGTGTGTGTGTATGTGACAGACACAACATACATGATAAAGCCAAGAGTAAACAAAGAAGCACAAAAAGATACAGATTTAAATTGTCAAATGTTGAATCATCAGGTCAGCAAGACTTTGAAGAACAATCTATCATCGCATCGGCCTTCGGACTTTTTCAGACCAACCGATGACTGAAACATGATCTATATACAATCAGGAATGTACACTTCACAGTTGAATTGAAAACACAAATATTATAATGTTAGTCATAAAGACGCACAATGAGAGTTGAAGTACCTTCGTAGCGGATGTTGAACCCTGTGTTGTGATTGGGCTGATCTGTGATAAACTGGATCCGCACTGCAGGCCCCTCACTGATGACTCCTTCAAAGGGGATTTGCCCTCCACGCCCAGAGTCAAAAAGCACTACAGAGCCTGCATCCAGACCACTCCACAGCACCAATCTGTCACACACACACACACACACACACACACACACACACACGCACATGTTTATGAGATCTCAATTCAAAGGCCCACAAGTCCAACTCCTCTGCAGAAGGTTGTCTTAATTCGCTATCTCATCTATCTAACAGTCGTCTATTTCAGGGATGGGAAAATGTGTCTCCTGGGGCTCACACGTGCGACTGACCACAGTATTTCAGTATTTCAGTATCTCAGTTCAGTTCAGTTCAGTTTATCACAAATACAAAATAAAAACATGTAACATTCATTTTATAATTAGTGACATTATAACAATCTGAACTCTGAACATTGTAAAGCGCTTTGGGTGCCCTTGGTCTGTAAAATGCGCTATATAAATACACATTACTTACTTCCTTACCTTGCATATTTGTGAATGTGGCACACTTGAAGCAACGTTTAGCTATATATGGGGTCCCAGACATTACACAGCACTAAAATATAAAACCAATCACTGGAATTCCTATCAACTAACCCATCTGCCAACTAAACTTCCTAAACATTTAAAAACTGCCCACCCACTGCACAGGACTGTAGAGGAGCTGAGGAGCTCCTTCAGTGGAAGGCTGAGGCACCCTCAGTGCAAGAAGGAGCACTACCGCAGGGCCTTTATCCCCACCGCTGTCAGACTGTACAAGAAGTCACCTTAAGTCACTGCATTATGACTGAAAAAACCTGCACTACTATTGACACTTCTTTCTTATTGCCACTTTTTGTACAAAATATGTCCTGCATCAACATGTTTGCACATTTCTTACTTTTTGCACAATCTTGAGTGTTTCTACCCATGCCAAATGTGACATGTAAATTTCTCCTGTGTGAGATTAATAAAGTATATCTTATCTTATATCACACTTTTGTTACATTAAATATGTAAAATGCATTCGTATAATTTTAGCTACAGTGCATATTGCTACAAAAAAGATATAGGCATCAGCTAGGATAGTTACTATATTCCCCAAGGAGTTTGATTTTTAATTTGTTTTTATACATGATCATGGATATCATATAACACCGTGTGCTGCTGCAGGAGGTGCTTGAAGCTCGGATTTTTTTCCTTGAAGTTCCCTCTTGATCGCACACTGTTGCACTCTTCCCTGTATATTTGTTTAATCACAGACTGAACTAAAGGTATTGTAAATTGATTAAAAAGGCTCTGGGGCCAGGACTTCAGTTCAGTATAGTGTATTAACATGAAGCACTGTCACCTGTCAGTGGGTCCCAACGTCAGTCTCTCCAGATGAAGATGAAGCCTCTGATCTTTGGGGGCCTCCAGTGACCAGGAGCAGGACCGATCATGTGTTGCATTGGCCCCATGGTGAGTGGTGGGGGAGATGATCCTGCCAACAGTGGCATTTTTCACCGTTCCTCCACAAAGAGCTGAAAAACACACACAAAATTGCAATGCAAAATCACTTGGTTTTTTTCTGTACTTTTAGCTTGTTTTCATTCTTGTACGTTTTAGCTTGTTTTGATCCTGTACTTTTAATGTATTTTATTCTGTACTTTTAGCTTGTTTTATGTATCCTCCTGTTTGGTGCACACTGGGGACTTTTGCAAATGTATTCCAATGTGGCTTTACTGCATATGGCAAATACAGTGAATCTGAATCTGAATAACAGTATGATGTGGAGTGTACCTCGGCAGGTGGGCTCTTTCCCACTCCACACGGGCAGAGAGGCATTGAGGCAGGTGAGCAGCCCGTGCCCCAGCAGGTGGTAGCCCATGTGGCAGTGGAAGCGGGCTGTGCCTCTGGGGAGCAGGTCTAAGACAGTCACCTCCCCAAAGTGCGGCCTTTTAGGGATGGGACAGCTCAATCTGAAAACTTAAAGCAGGAAAATATGATTACAGATTACAGAGACATGATTATCAGAAACTGTTTGCTGTTGAGTGAAATCAAAAGAGATGATAATACACAAAGTAAAAGTGTGACTTACTCTGGTAATGCAGCTGAAAGGTGCCTATGCTTCCCTCAGGCCCAGAGCTGTAGTACACTGACATGGTGTTGGTGGGGCTGCGGATCACCTGACCCTCCACCAGCAGAGTGTGATTGGCCAGGACCAGCAGGGCACCGGTTTCATCTGCTCCTCTGATGGAGAGCTGCTCACTGTCTGACAGGTTCACACTCTTCACCTGCCGCACAGCAAAATGACACTATGAGTCTATAGTTATAAGGTTCTCTCAGCTACATGGTTATCTCAGCTACATGTTTATCTCAGTGACATTTTATATTAAATCGAAAAAAAACTTTGTTGCATCACCCAGCTTCCTTCCTTGGATAGCAGGGAAGGGTCTATGCACTGGATTGGTTTTACAAAAGTATGGCAGTAAAGTATTAACTCTTGTTTGGTGTGAGAGACAGTGGCCACTAGGAGGCAGGATTGCGTTTACCACCAGCAGCAGTCACTGTAGTCCCAACAATACCGGAGTGTAAAGTTTGGTGTTTGGCGCAGTGTACCTGCAGTTCGACTCCATATCCTGTGTACACAGTGATGATGTAGGTACAATGGAGGAAGGGGCCATCTGGTAATGGGGGCTCATCAGACGAGTCTATATATCCCTCTGGGCCGTTGAGACTGACCAAGCAGCGGGGCACTAATGAAGAGAGAGCAGGTGAAGCGACAACAGAGCCCTGTTTGATTTTATCTCAAGTGGAATTAAGGAAATCCCTGTATGATAAATGACAGAGATGGGATGTCTTGGTGCAGAGGCAGAGATAGACGTGAGGGTTGTACCTGCTTGAGGGCTGCCTGTGTCTGTCTCCATGATGCTGGTCAAAGAGGGCTGAGGGTCAGGGCTGTCCGTGTGTGTCTCCGTATGCAGCGTGAGTTTGTGAACCGTGTCAGTAGGTGAGCTGGATTGACCTGATGCTGCAGCTAATGTTGGGGATTTGTCCCTTTGTTTCAGTCCCTCATTCTGTCGGGAGGAGCTCAGACTGAGCCCTCTGCCCAGCAGAGGCAGCAGGCCGTGGGGCAGCGCAGAGGGGACATGGCGAGTCAGACCAGTGGTCACTGCTGTGGTGTCTTGGTTTGCTGTCGATGGGGTGAGTGCAAAGGACAAGGTAGAGGAGAGCAGAGTGGGGGGCGCTTTATCTGAAAAACAAAGACAAACATGAATCAGAGGGTTTGAATATATAGTGACTTTACAGTTTGTCCAGGACCGGAATCAGCAGGACACGGTGGTTGTGTTACTGACCCACACATTAGCAGTGAATTGCTGTAGTGGCAACAGCACTGTTGAGCATGACAGGAGCAAGGGGGAGGAGAGTGCACTTAAAAAAAAGAAACATATTGACTGGCAAAAGGTTCTGCCTTGCATGCTAAAACGGCATCTCCAGCAGCTTAAAAAACAGCAGAGAGCAGCAGTTACACACATACCAGCCGCATGTCTACACACATCTCTATCTTTGCAGCTTTCATACCCACCAAGTCAAGTAAAGTATAGCAACAACATCATCAAATGCCAAAAACACAGGTGCAACAGTGTGTGCACAGCCGCACACTGTCAACTTTACAACACATTAGGAGTTGTGTTCATGTTCTACACGTAAACATCCTCATCCTTATCGGCTAAAATTCAAATGGGATACAACTCTAAAGGCAATTTATTGCTTTGATACAAGTATTCAAAGTATACTATTTATAAACATGGGGGGACTGTATTTCAGATTTTTTGCAACTAAAATCTGGATCAATCTTCCTGAAAATGTGAGACAGGTTTCTACTCATCATCATTGTGTACAAGTTCCAAATGCCACAAAAAAACTGTTTCCTCAAATGTAAATCCCAGAATGTCCAGTCCACATACCGCTCGGGAGGGAAGCTGTGTCCTGGAGATGAACATGTTCTGGTCCAAAATGTGCAAATTATCCCCAGAACAAATGCAAAAACAAGTCCCAAACATGGTTCTGTTCTGAAAAAAGACATTACATAATTAAAAAAATAAATAGTTTCTAAACTCATACACAGCAATATTTTTGGTGCGGTCCCATTAAATAAAACTGATTGGTGATAAGAAAATAGCCAGTTAGGTCTTAGACTTTATTGGTCCCAAGGGAAATCACTTGGACAAAGTAGCCCAAGTAAGCTCGGTTATATCTAAACGTCCGCTTTCCACTGTATCTAATTGAAAAAACTAAACTAGATCATGAAACATCATAAAATATTTAGTTGCTTGATATCAACATGGCTTTTCCCTTCACTTATAAATGCTTCTGCTGGCTGTGTCTCATTACGATCCGCCGTATTTGGGTACAGACCACCGAATACGCAGTAGAACCGGTTTCGGCCTGGTATTTCACGCCTCAATTGGAGAGCACAGGTTTACATGCTGCTTGTTCAATCAAATGAAATTGGACAAAGAGAGAAGGATCCGGTTTTCACAAGTGCTTTGTATAAACACATTCATTGATCCAAGAAGTTGGTCAACTTCACGGTGACATTTGTTGTGACATTTGTTTACTGTTTTTAAAATTTGTTTTATTTTTGTCTTTTAATGTTGTTTTGTGTCTGTACTTGTCCTGTGCACACGGGGAACTTTTACAAATGTATTCCAATGTGGTGTATACATACTGCAAATGGCGAAAAAATAAATGAATCTGAATCTGAATCTGAGCTATGGTGGGATGGCTCAGACAAAGCGCAACACCAACACTGCTTCTTACCTAACTATGATCAATAATATGCAGTTCCACAGTTCACATAATACAACCCTTATCTTTAGAAAACCAAACTGCCACAGCTCAGAACCAGCACCAGCCCAGAACTGGCCCTGAACCAGCCCCGTGGTGCAAAAGGGGTACTTGGGCCTCTTTAAGACGGCACGATCGTCTACTGGCTGGGATAAACATCAAGATAATGAATAGAATAAAGAAAACCCTTGTTATTTCCCTCATCCGGGGGCCACACAGGAAACAAGGGAGTGAAGGAACAAGGAAAGATGCAGGGACAAGGAAAGATGCTGGCACCTCTGAGGAAATTGCAGCTACTTTGATATGAAAACACATCTCTCAAGGTGTACGCTCGTGTAGAAATGAAGCAAAGGCATTTCACAGGAAACAAACACACCTCGATATAAAAACTGCAGAAAATGCTTTATTCTTGAGTGGTCTCTAACATAGACTGTATACAGATGGACAATGCTAACCCTCCAACTCAATGAAGCCCAACAGAGAAGTGCTCATGGACAAAATTAAGCTCTGGCTCATATTTACTTGCACTGCAAAGTAATCTCCTCTATCTCCGTAACCGTTTGAATCTCTCACCATTTTAGGCAAAGAAAAAAAAAGTGGTGGTTTACATACTTTCTGTGACCCTGATGTTTACATTTTGATACTGACTGTGTAAATCCAGACATAAGCCATATGAGGATTGACCAATCAGATGCCTTTGTTTGAGGGGAAACTCCAGCTTGCCTTAGCAACCATCCCACGCCATTGGGAACAAATGCCCATATAAGGAAATTGGCTCAAGCTAGCCTATGTTCAAATCAGCTTCTTCCGCATTCGATTAACACTATGGTTAGTCAGCACTCAGTCAGTCCATCCCTAATATATGTGTACAAATGGATTTGATGTGAAACTGATTTTTTGTTTGTACTTGCAGCTAAAAGTTCTTTAACAGAGGTTATGGATACCATGGTATATTTTTCATGTCATTGAATGTAGCCAGAATACTGTTAAAAACTCACCCGTAAGCACAAGTCTTAATAAGTGAAGAATGGCTGAATCAACCAGACCTGATTTAGCAAAAATCATGGTTACAGCCTTCGGAGCGTGAACAATTATTGTGCTTATTTGTGCAATGATGAAGGAAAAGGTCGAGCGATACAAACGAAAAAGCAAAGGACTCGTGCAGCATGTGTGTGTGTGTGTGTGTGTGTGTGTGTGTGTGTGGTCACACCTGCAAAAACTGAGATCCTAGAAGCTAAGAAGGTCAGTTCATTTCACTTCAATTCAACTAATTCTTGCATAGCCCTAAATGACAACAGTAGTTAGCGCGGAGGATTTTACAAAGCCGTCGATTCGCCAAAACAGATCAGAGAATCAAAAAGTTCAAACAAGAAATGTAATGATGAAAAACACATAGAGCCATTGTCCATAAGAGGCAGACGACCAATGTCCATGAATGTTGTTGAATGTCGAGTGTCCTGGATCATCACCACTATTAAATATAAAAAGTTAAATTTGTCATCTTATATTTAAGGCAAAGAAGGTTATTTTAAGACAAAAAAAGAAAGCTAGTGCTGCTTAATTATCAGACATGTTTTGGCGGTACACAGATACTAAATAACCTTCCAAGCCATCACAACTATGGTGCATCAGAATCAGACTCAGATTCAGACTCAGGGCTGGACTGGCCATCGGGCGTACCGGGCAATGCCCGAAGGGCCGATGCCCATATTTGGGCCGGTCTGTCTGCCTCATACAAAAAAACATGTTTGTGAAAAGTGTAAATCCGTCGAGAAATGTTTGAGGGGAGCGTGCGTGTCCGCGGGGCACCTGCTGTATATACTCGAACGGGATTCCACCACCTCAGCGGCCGCAGTGTTCCCGCATCCAGCGGCTCTGAGCTGGACGCAGGAACCGCTCACAACACAACACGGTGAGCGCGTAGCCGCAACGTGACCATGTACCCAAGACCATAAACGCGCACAGGACCATGCATGTCTTTTCGTAATTTGTGCACCCAATAAATACACCGCTGCAGAAAACAGTCCGCGTCTCCCTCTCCTCTAAATTAAAGCTCGGGTACCTAAATTTTCCATTGCATTAAAAGTTCATGTTTGAGCCCAAAAGTAAAATGTTGTGAACAGATTAAACAGATTTAGAGCCAGCTAATGACTGACAATATGCATTTCAGTCTTTTTTGACCAATTCTCATCCCTGTAACAAACAATAGTATTGTCTGTGCCCACCTCCCTCACTCTGAGACATGTTTATTACTCTGTTTAATGTAGACTATTGTACTTTATTTTATTGTTGAAACTGCAGACATCCTGATCCTCTGCAGTATTTGCTTCCACATACTGTATAAACCAGGGGTCGGCAACCTTTAGTGCCCCTAAAGTGGCTCCTGGAGCCTTTTCAAAAATGTCTGAAAATGGAGTGTGAGGGCTATATTTTATTTCTAGTTTCAATGTGGTTTCTGTAGGAGGAAAAACATTCTTAACGTTTTTCAATGCTGCAAAAACTTGTATAAGTAATATTAAATTTTAGCATTTCTGTACGTAGTGCGTCATATCCTGTGACGCGGCCCGTGCCAGGCGGCCGCTGTTGTAAACAAACCGGCGTGTGTGCATTATAGACTGTGTGTGCGCATGGATCCCAAAGATAAAGAGAGAGAGTCGATAAGACTGGACTAAGAATGAGAATGAACTTTTGCTTTCAGTCAATGAGGAAGGACTGCTTCATGTTTGCGATGTAATGAAAACAATAATGAACAATGAAGCTTTAAACACCGTTCACTGAAAGATTCATTCATCATAAAGTCAGAACACCTATTTTCAGACTTCAAAAAAGAAAGAAAAGGCCATTAAGGACATTCAGCTCCAGCAAACTACAGCCTGTGATGTGATCGATATGAACAGACAGTGATGCAGGTGAACTGAGCCAAAAAGCAGATTTATTTACTGTATTTGTACATTTGCATGAAGGCAAAAAAAGTTAAACTTAAAGCAGAGTTGTCACGTGGTGCGTCATTCTCTCCAGGACACACTGCAATGAAAATACACATTTGATAATCATGAATGGTTTTTTATGTGTTTGTAGCCTTTACTTTGTCATTTAGATATTAGTCTAATATAGCTAATATAGCTAATGTAGCTAAGGTAGCTAATGTAGCTATTGTAGCTAATACAGACTCAGATTCAGACTACTTTATTTATCCCACTAGGGGCAATATATTTGAGCAGTGCATAAGAAATAAATAAATATATAACATGAAAACAGAGGAAATAAGTGATATGACATGAAGTGGAGCCCCATACAAACATATAATACAACAATAAAGCTCAAACATCAAAGTCCTCATCACCACCAAGCTGCAGAGCGTTCAGCAGTCTAACAGCTGTTGGGACAAAAAAGATTTTAAAT